CCGAGAAATTTTGCATATTTTGTGTAAATGCCGTTATATGGTTGCCGTAATAAAATGTTCAATTTTGATTAAAAAATACTTCTCGAAGCATCAAAACATTTAAAAGCTCAACGTGCTTTTAAACAGCTATTGCCGGTATTGATTTTCTCAATAATACTCAAAACATTAAATGTCAAATTACAGTTCATTCGGTAGAAATTGTAACAAAAACATGCCATAATTTAATCGACAAAGATTTCTACTTTTTAATATAATTTATGGGGTCCCTAACTTTTATAAACCGATGGCACCTTATTTATGATAGTTAAATTAAAGTCATATTTCCAGGATTTCTATTTAGAAATTACTATTGATCCTGAAGTCGGAAACTCCAAAAAATTGACTAGATATGGAAATAATCCATCCAATGCAAAATTCATTGGGACTGCAATCAGTGAACTACCGAATATGAAGAAGCAATGTAATATGTAATATGTAATACAAAATTGTGGAGCGAATTTAAAATTTAGGAAGAAAAAGATTCATATCATCGGAAAATCCTTCCGAACCCTTAAACGAACCCGTAACCTTAACTTATAGGTAACGTCAAACGGGGACTATGTGCTATCATCAGTAATTACACTGCGCCCTAGACAATCATGAGGCTGGGCAATTTTTCGGTTGGTAGATAAAAATCCCAAAAGGGGGGGTTCCCGGGTCCAACTTTTTTAGGGGCCATTTTATATAACTTAAACATACACAAAGGGCTTCAAATATTTTCTTCTATACTACGCAAAATTTAAGATAGAGTTTTAAATTTGATGCAGTTCTATGGGTTACATAAAGAATCATTTATACAAAATATGTTTCAGGTTGGTCTGCATTGTGATATAGCCCTTTTTAATTCCTTAAATGTTGGTTATTTGAGATTTTAGAAAGAACAAAACATTCTTTCAAATAATTATTAGTATAGGACAAAGCTTTGGTATAACCCTTATATGAAAGCATCCGCTAATTTCAACTATTTCCAGGGTCTTGGTCACATTCTAGGTCACCTCAATATGTCAATGTTTTGGAGTAGAGAACCATCTTACTTAATCTTAATAAATGTGCTATATTATTTGGGATTCCAACTCTCAAATTAAAACCTTTGGCTGGAAAATAGGTCTGTTTGTACGCCAAAATGTGGACTTAAGGGGGTACTATTACATATAGAAAATTCTAAAATTTGTAGATATGTTGAAATTTTTGTGAAAGATTTCCACCCCAAATATACATTTTTAGCCAAATCCTTTGAAATATGGTAAAATCAGGAGTTACCTTTATATGGGCACTACTCCGAAACATCGACCTACATTGAAAACTTTCTTCTACCCCTTATAATCCAATATGACAAATAGAGGCCAAATCAAGAATATAGCAGAACAACATAGCATGTAAAACTGAAAAAAATTTCGCGTGATTTAAATAAGTAAAAATAGTTTTATCCACCTCATAATTGAGGGCAGAATGATTTCAGAATAGTCAAATATAATTACTATTTTACACCCATTACCGTAAGATGGGAAATAATTTTATTTTCCCATTTAAATTGTAAATTGGAGACCCCATAAAGTCCATAATTTTCATCATAGTATAATTCTATGACGATTCAACAAATATTCGGTCCCGTGCTACTTTCTATATAGATGTACATCCCAAATCCACGTTCCCAACCAATATTCCCTTGGGGGTTACAAATTCAATAGAATACAAAGTTTTCTTTTCTGACCACACATTAGAAGTGAATGTGGACTTGGGGATACTCTAATGTGGGGACTTTACTTAAATAATTGCTGTGTGGCAATTATCTGTATGTTGGTTCCATATCCCAAGGTAGCATATATACAATATTTTATCTAAATCAATTGATGAATGTGGTCAAGACTAATGTGGGCCCTACTCTGAAAATTTCAAATTTTCTCTACCCCCTCAGAAAAAAAGATGCCAAATAAGGGCCAAAATATGAAAAAAGTGGCCAAGACCCCAAAAATAGGTTAAATCATACGACGGTTATATAAATATGAAATCGGGTTGTACCCTTATCCGTGAGTTATGATCGAAATCATGAACTGCAAAAGCGATTTAAGGTATCTAGAATGTTGGAGAAGAATTTCTGGAAGGATAGAAATCCTTTTCTTACTAAAAGTCCCATTCGCTCTACTATTTTGCACCCTTTATATTTGGTATTTTGAGCTCTCATTGGACGGATTATTGTCAAATGAAAGAAGTAGGTCCACGCTTTGAAATTCAAAAATTAAAAAAACGCAATTGTTGCACTACTTTAATGATTAAACTAACAAAGAACTCGGCCTACCATGAGAAAAGAAGGAACATGCCAAATTTAGTCCGCATACACGAAGGGTTTGTCCTTTTTAATTTCATAAAAAATCCTAAGCGTATAGGAAACTGCAATCTTTTGAAGTTGAGTTGTATTTCTGTTGTAATTAGAGAATTCGAGGTAGCAAAATACTTCTTCGTAACAATCATTTCCTCAATTAAATTGTTGTGTAGTTTTTTACTGTTAGCCAAATTTGGAGACTGTATCTGTAATCGATCAATAGATATGTGCATATAAAATCTAGATTTTTGGGAGGTACCTCCGATTCTGTTGCTATATCTCCAGTTTCAAGTGGAATTTCAAAAATGTATGTAGCCTATGTTACTTTCAAGCGATGTTGTAGTATACTTGGAAATTTTCAGGAAAATATGTGCTGCGGTTTTCTAATCCATAACTTGCAAACAAACAAACATACATTTTCCTCGTTTATAGGTATAGATTCCTAGGAAGTTAAATTATATACGTTTCGTTTAATTATAATAATACCACTAAAAATTCGTCCTTCTGCATGTTTTTGTTATAATTTCTACCAAATGAACTGTAATTTGAAATTTAAAATTGTCAGTATTGTGAAATCAATACTGGCAATAACTGGTTACTGCTGGTTTCCCATTATATATATATATATATATATATATATATATATATATATATATATATTGTAGTTCGTTTTATATTAATACTAGGCTACCTTCTTTGTATTCGTGGGTGGTTCCATGTCGGTGATTAAATCGTTTTTTCCACCGTTCTCTACACATCTGCATATTACGTTGGCTATCATCTTGTCTTTCAGCAACTGGCATGTTGTTGTCGGTGTCTATGATGGCAGTCAAAATCACATTCACGAGGATAACTCGATGATGTCCGAAGAAAATTCAAGATGATATTATTGGATCTTTCTTACTGTCCATTTGCTCTTGGTTTTCGTACTGCGATATTCATGGATGTATATTCCTTGCAAAAAGAGTCAATTTTTTTCGCGTTAAAGTCAAAGATGTGATATTCGAGACAAAAACTGTCAATATATAATCGGAACAGTTTTGTATTTACTCCCCGCACATTTTGATAACAATTAAGTAAAAAGTTATTTAACAAAAATTTTTTCGATATTTTTTTATCAAAACTTTCTAGAGGTACAGCAATTTTAAAAGACTATCTGAGATATAGATGTTCTATATCATATAGCTTTTTAACAATCAAATTGAAGCCTATGGAAGAAAAATACGATCAGGCTATTCAAAATATTTGAAACCGACGATAGGTGAACATCAATTATAATTTGCGTCATGAATATTTATTTCTATTTAGAAATAACTATGCAGTCATTACTTATAATAAAAATTGCCACTTACATAAGTCAGATCTATGATTTATTATGCTTTAAAAAATATGCATTAAAGAGTAAAAGTACGGGCCAGCAACGCGGACCGGGCCAGCTAGTATATATATATAATATATAAGGCCAGATATATCCTCGCATAGAACTCTATTTTCGCAAAAGTCTTTACGGGTTCTGGCGCTAGAGTTAAAACACAACTCTATATTCTATCACCTTTGGTAAATAGGAAATCTATATCTATAAAAGAAGAAAATGTTTGTATATTTGTTTGTAATTTCGCACTCGAAAACCGTTACACAGATTTTCCTGAAAAAATAATTTAGATTTTATATAATATGATATTAGATTTTAGGGTGCCTTGGGGAAGTTGGTCTGGTTTCTTATCTCTTAGAGAGGGAGTTGATGAACTCGCTTCACTTGCAAGATTGGGGGTCTGACCACTCCTTAGAGTTGGACAAGATATACTCGCTACACAGGAAGGATTAATAAAACCTGCGACGACCTCTACCGCCCTGCTTGGTTTGGCGTACGCACTTCAGACACAATATCAACATACGAATTCCATATCGCAATTGGTAGAAGCCGAAAGAGGTATGCTTACTTAAGCGTTTGGAGCATTTCAAGCCAATGGCTTAGCCGACTACTTCTTAGAATGCCGTTAACGATTCGGGTCAGACACAAGTGGAGAAGACAGTAACTCATCCAATACCGGAAATTGCTCAAAAATTTTATTAAAACGTGACAACCTCAGATAAGTATGCCAGATACCTCTACCTATTTGACTGGTTTCAGAAGAAATCTCCCTTGCAACATTATAAAATTCTACACTTATTTGATGAAATTTTATACAACCTTAGCCACCACGAAATTTTATACAACCTAACCACCTTAGTTCGTTATATTCTAAATTTTGAAGAAACAAAAAAATATTAATCAGCAATAACAGATTTTATTATATAGACATAGGAATCAATGTTGCGTAGTTTTCTTAAAAATTTACGATGGCAACTCTGTTTTAAAATATAAGAGAGAGAGAGAGAGTAAAACAAAAAGGATAGAAAACAAAATAGCAACAGCTATTTTAAAATTGAATAGGAAAATATTTCTTGTTAACAAAAAATATTTAGGACATGATTGTTTTGTAAATAACGCAAATGGTTTAAATACTAATAAGTACTTTATGGGTTCATTGTACGGATGCCAAAACATTTTTCTTAAAGTTTGCGAAAAATATTTTAGTGTTTGTATATCTTATGATAAGGTACACTGAAATTTGAAATTCTCCTTACAATCATTTTACAGAGGTGCGCCAAGAAGCTGTACAACAGGCTCTAGCTGCGCTAAAAACTCGACCAAAAACGAACTTGCCTATGCCATCAAAACGAAGTTCTGTACTAAATAGAAGTCCTGACAGGAACAATGATGACACAGGTTAATAGCAATCTAGCATAATATATTCATATATATAAAGCGAATTTTTTTCAGAGTCCTCATCAGAAGATGAGTCAATACCAGAGGAGATTATATCCCCAGACAAGGAATATAATTATCCACGAGATCATGTTAGCAACATTATGGAACCACACATTAAGCCTCCGGTTCGCGAATCATCTATTGGAATTGTGTCTTCCAAATCCCGCCAGTCTGACAGCAGGAAAAAAACGTCATTGCCACCAGTGGTAAGTGGAATCAGTTTTAGCACTTATTGTACATCAAAAACTATAAGAAATTATAGATTATATAGAAATAATTAAAAGGAATCTAAAAATAGAAAAAAGTCAGTCTGTTAATCTGTTTTGTTGTGATTCCTGTTCCCCACGCGATCTTTGTTGTTCCGTTGATATATGTGCGTTTTTTGTCTAAATTTTGAACCTTAGTAGTGCAACATCTAAGAGATTTGCATTAATAAGAGTTGCACGTTCTTTATATTTAATACCTGTATATGTATGTTCTGAGTTATTTGCATACCCTTAATGGCTTTTAAAAGATCGCAATCCACTCTAAACATATTTAAAATAATATAAAGTCCCATAAAACGTGGTGATTGTAGTTCGTTTTATATTAATACGAAGCTACCTACTTTTATGCGGATTCCGGAAATTACATAGCACAACAAAAGCTTTACATGCTATTTCCACACACATTAGCCAGGAACTCAAAAATGTAGTACCCGTCAGTTGTGCTAAAATTTCCCCAATAGTTTACATTGGAAATGATTGTCTCTCAGTAATATATCTTAAGGGCTAAGTACATAAGAAGCTTGAAGTCATGGCACGGCCTATTTTGTGACATTTCACAAAGGAATTACAGAGCCGCACTAAAATCCTGCCGTCGTTTTTCATTATAATTTGGCATTAATATGCCTAGCCATGACTTCAAGCTTTTTATGTATTTGCAGCCTTAAGGGCTAAGTACATAAGAAGCTTGAAGTCATGGCTAGGCATATTTTGTGACATTTCACAAAGGGATTACAGAGCCGCACTAAAATCCTACCGTCGTTTTTCATCATAATTTGGCATTAATATGCCTAGCCATGACTTCAAGCTTTTTATGTATTTGCAGCCTTAGTCTTTCAAATTCTCCGGTTTTCTTTTGATTAAGCACAAAATGACAACAATTGAAGCACGGGCGAATGACACTTATAGGGTTTCATACATATTGGTTCATTTGATGTAACTGTAATATTCTTTTTTACTTTATTACACTTTTCGATGAATTGTGTTTTCTTGCCAAAACGTCCAGCATAGTACACAATACGATGAAAAAATCATATCAGATTACTTTCGTTTTAGATCGTTATCGTTGAAAACATTTATTACATATTGAATTATAGATTGATGGTGTGGTTTAAGGATGCGCCGTTACACAAATTCGGCAACTGCTTCACTCGGAGATCTTTGGTCGATTGTGTTCATTCTAGGAAGAAAATAGAAAGGAGACACGCACAAGTGAGAAGAAGCAGAAAATATTTATAGAGAAAAGCGTAGTTAGTAGGTTGGTCTGCCTAGACAGGGAATGTATGAAATTATGATGCATACTATGTCCGAGAAGAACGTTAGACCTTCTATTTTCCACCTACCAAATAGCCCATGTCTCTTCAGCCATGGTTATTTTGGGCATGAGTGATCGGGATTTAATCGCATGCAATCAGAAAAGGCATCCATATGTCAGAACAGGTAAGACCACTTTGACAAATATCCAGTGTACTCTTTGTGGTCTAAGACCCCATTTCCTGCATGAATAGAGTGCAATATGGCTATTTTTAGTACGCTCCTCAATGTTCTTGTTCGCAGTGCTGGCAGAACTTGTACTATTCACAAAGAAACGCAAAATAGATAACTGCGTTTCTTTGTGAATAGTACAAGTTCTGTCTATGCAGGGTTTACCTTCAGACCATTGTCCAGGACCAGATCCAGATGCATTTTGCAAAATTGCTGGTATAATGCCATCGGAATCAGAGGGCTTGAAAAGTGTTGAATTAGTTGTTTGTTGACCTTTTTATTTGATTTATAAATAATACGACCTTTTGAGCTTTAGGTCATTGTAGATTTATACAGGGTGAGATAAAATAACTGCAACAAAGTCAAACGCCTTAGTTTTTAAATTTTTTATTTTATAAAAGCAAAGCAAAAACTGCCGGAAAAAGCATCAAATTTTAGAATAAGTTTAGATTTGTTCGAATTGGTCTCCATTGGCACGAATTATGGCCTTCAAACCGCCAATGAAACCCTCTCACGCCGCCCGAATGTTGCTCTGCGGTATTTTGGCCCATTCCAGATCAGGGAATTAATAATATTAATATAAAACAGTGGTTTAAACAGAAGTCACAACAGGCACAAATGGAATTTCCGATATGGAGTGTTTATATATATGGTAAACATGTTTGTTACATGTCCAACGCCCAGCTGGCTAGTCTTCCAGTGGGATTCTTAATGGAGTTTAGCCATTTTAGTGCCAAGTGATCCGTTATGACTACTGAAAATCTTTAGCATTATGCGACCACCGAAAACCCTTCAGATAGATCAAGATCAGGGAAATAATAATATTAATATAAAACAGTGGTTTAAACAATTGAACATAATGGTAGAAGTCACAACAGGCACAAATGCACAATCCGGAGTTGGAACTGCAACGTGTGGCGTTAGGTGCTGCGGTGTTGGTTGCTGTTCTGGAGACTGCGGTGGAGTGCCATACTCCGACGACGTCTCTGACGAGGACGACGAAGAAGAGGACTCGCTGGGGACTACGTTACTGTTCCAACTCCGGATTGTGCATCATTCTTGAAATTCAATTGCAACGGACTTCGAGGCAAAATAGATGAGATAGTGGAATTTATGAGTCGGAGGAATATTAAGATCGCAGCGGTGCAGGAAACCAAGCTGAATGAAAATTGCAGCCTACAACGTTGTTATGGTTACAACGTACTAAGGAAGGATCGCACCAGAAGTGGAGGTGGGGGATTAGCGTTCCTGTTACACCATTCTGTTCAGTACAGACCTATCTCGCTTGAGCTAGTCTCTAGTGACCCATACATGGAATGTATGTGGGTAGCAGTCAAGTGTGGAACTGCCGAGGTAGAGGTGCTTAATGTGTATATCCCGCCGATTAATAGCTGTGAACCGCGTTATTTGCCTGATATTAGCCCATTATTGGTAGGCAATAACCGCCTGGTACTAGCGGATTTTAATGCCCACCATGAGTTGTGGCATTCCGTCCTAGGTAATGACCAGAGGGGATCAGCGCTGGCAGAGCAGATTGACTGCTCCACATTCTGCACGGTTAACGAGGATGCCCCCACCCGAATAAGAGGAGAGTGTCACAGTTCGCCAGACTTAACCATAGTGTCACCCGGTCTGATAAATGACGTGACTTGGCAACCCGTCATTTCTCTTGGCTCAGACCATCTCCCGATAATCGTCTCCATTTCATAACCTCTGAACGCCGCACTTTCCTTAACCATGGGAAAGCTCACTGGCCAGAGTTCAGAGAATTCACCAACCGCCGCTTCAGAGAACTGCCCAACCCTTCTGATGTTCGGGTAGCAGAAAGGATTTTCCGAAACATCGTCAGAGCTGCAGCCGCTCGCTATATGCCTGCTGGTCGAATACCCGAGATAAGACCAAACTTCCCAGCAGAGGCAGCGGGATTAGCAAACGAGCGTGATGATCTCCGTCGTACCAACCCTACTGATCCTAGAATCAGTGATTTGACAGTGGAAGTCAACCGGTTGGTACAGGAGCATAAGAGGAAAAAGTGGTTAGACCATCTGGAGTGCTGCAACATTGGAACCGATATGAGTAAACTGTGGGTAACGGTTAAGTCGCTCTCGAACCCTGGAAAAAAGGATGATAGGACCTCAGTCACTTTTAACGACGTAACGGTGACTGATCCAAAGAGGTGCGCGGAATATTTTAACCGACAATTTGTCGAGCACCCCGAGAGCGATAGGGCGAAGCGAAGAGTACGACGTCGTATCAGATCTCTTCCCGCCGAGGAGGAACCACCACAGTTTACGATGGGTGATGTTGCAAATGTCATCCGTAACGCTAAGTCATCCAAAGCGTTGGGCCCGGACGGAATCTCAATGGTAATGTTGAAGCAGCTGGATACGCCGGGAGTCGAGTACTTAACGAAAGTTCTCAATTTGTCGCTAGCCACCCACATAGTGCCCGAAACCTGGAAAATGGGCCGGGTGGTCCCGCTACTGAAGCCAGGCAAGGATGCCAGTAAAGGCGAATCGTACAGGCCGATTTCGCTTTTGTCGCCAGTAGCAAAGACTCTTGAGGCTTTACTCCTCCCCAGCATTAGAGGAAGCTATACAGTTGCCAACCACCAGCATGGATTCCGTCCACAACATAGTACCACAACAGCATTACACGCCATTTCCACACATATTAGTAGAGGACTGAACCAGAACAGGCCGTATGACAGAACAGTGTTCGTAGCCCTTGACCTATCAAAGGAATTTGATACGGTCAATCATGCCACACTGTTTGAGGACGTACAGAGAACTACCCTCCGGCCAAGTTTGAAACGTTGGATAATCAACTATATGTGTGGACGCCAGTCGTACGTGGAATTCCGGAACAAGAAGTCCAAAGCCCGTAGAGTGAAACAGGGAGTTCCCCAAGGCGGGGTGATATCTCCGGAACAGTTTAACCTCTACCTTTCCGGAATTCCTCGCCCTCCAGACGGCATTGAGATCGTAACGTATGCGGATGATTGTACGATCATGGCGTCGGGTCCAGTGGTCGATGACATATGCGAAAGGTTGAACCCCTATCTCGCGGAGCTTGCCGCATACTTCCACGCGAGGAATATGAAAATATCCGCCACGAAATCAACGGCCACACTCTTTACCACATGGTCTGCGGAGATGAGAACACAGCTGAATGTTCAGGTCGAGGGGAATCTAATACCGACCACGAACTACCCCAAGATACTTGGGGTAACGTTCGATAGCATGTTGAAGTCTTCCGCGCAAGCCACAGCTATTTGCGATAAAATGAAAAGTAGGAACAAGGTCCTCAAGGCGCTAGCCGGCAGCTCTTGGGGTGCGGACAAAGAAACCTTGTTGACCTCTTATAACGCGATAGGTCGGTCTGTGGTCAACTATGCGGCTCCAGTGTGGTCTGCGAATACTAGTGCTACGCAGTGGAAGAATATCCAGACCTGCCAG